GATTCTGATCACTGTTCCCCAAGAGAGAAGGTCAGCAAATTGATTTTTATTTCTAGGAATGTGTTCAATTTGGAAATATTCGAGTTTGCTCATATCCTCTTTAACTATGTTGAGATATTTCATCATAATCGGATCTCTTGTTTCAAAGAGCCCATTGACATGGTTGACCATCAACTAAAAGTCAGATTTAACCACCATATGGGTAACACCGATCTTCAAGATAATCGAAGCCTCGCTATTAACACTTCGTATTCAACCTGATTCTTGGAGGTTGCAAAATTGAGTTTGACAGAGCGACTGGGGTTAGTTCCATCCGGATTGCACAAAACCTGGCCTATACCTCTTTATGAGGCTTCACAGGCTCCATCGACATAAAGTGTCCACGTTAAGTTTTCATTAGTGTCAACTTTTTCCTCCGTCAAATTCTTAGAAAGATCAGCTAAAAGTTCATCTACGACTTGAGCTTTTATGACTATTTTGGGAGTGTCGACAATGCCAAATTCACTCAACTCAACTGCCCACTTCAGCAACCTCCTAGAATTTTCAGGTTTAGATATACCGATTTAAGGGGATGATCGGCCATGACATGAATTACGCGAGCTTCGAAGTATGGGCATAATTTTTTTGTTGGGATCACAAGTGCTAAGACCAACTTTTTCATGATCATGTATTTGTGTTCAGCTCCTTGTAGAATTTTACTGACGTAATAAATAGTGAATTTCCGCTTGTTCTCTTCCGTGATGAGCACCGAGCTAGCCTCGTTACCTGCTCTCAAATAGATGTATAATTCCTCGTCAGGAATAGGACTATGCAATAAGGGTAGAGATGCTAGCAGTTCTTTGAGCTATGTGAAAGCTTGCTCATGTTCGTCAGTCCATGTGAATTGATTAGCACTTCTAATAGTCTTGAAGAATGGGAAGTAGCGGTCCCCAAATTTAGATATGAATTGGCTAAGCCCATGTATTCCTTTCAGGTTCTCTGGTGGAGGCATTCGAAGGATGACTTTTATTTTTTTCGGAATTGGCTTAATATCTTTGGGCGTGAGTAAATATCCAAGAAATTTTCCCGAGGATGCTTCAAACGTGCATTTTAAAGGATTAAGTTTGAGTTTGTAGTTTCGCAAGGTAGCGAAATTCTCCTTGAGGTCTAAAGTATGTCGCTGCCGTGTTTTACTTTTTAACAACAAGTCATCGATATAGACTTCAATATTTCTTCTTTCTTCTTAGAGAATATTACATACCATCAGTTTTTGATAGGTTCTCCTGTCATTTTTCAGGCCAAAGGGCATGACCTTTTAAAAAAAAGTCATTTTTGGGTGATAAAAGAAGTTTTCTTGACATATGCAGGATTTATCATAATTTGATGGTAACCAGATAAAGTGTCTAGGAAACTCTTAGAGTTTCCTACAGCGGGATTGACTAGTGCGTTTATCCTTGGTAGTGTATGACTATCTTTGGGACAGAGATCGTTCAAGTTGGTTAAGTTCACATATGTTCTCCATTTGTTGTTGGCCTTTTTTACCATGATCATGTTTGCTAGCCACATCGAATATTGCACTTCATGTATAAAACCGACGAACTTCGATATTTCCTGTCGACTTGGTTCTGCGAGCTTGTCATGGTTCTGCGAGCTTGTCAGGTGATTTACGTATCTTCTGTTTAATAGGTTTAGCTCCTGAGTTGACATTTAAACGATGACAAGCAACGTCTATGTCCACACGTGTCATTTCGGAAAGACTCTAGGCGAACACATCTTCATGACTCCAAATAACTTTAATGAGATGGTCTCTAGGCTCTTTATCAAAATTCGTGCTTACCAAAAGGTTTCGGTTAGGCTCCATGGTGGATACAGGGATGAGCTCTGGAATGGTAATAGGTCGAGCCTGTCAACCCTACTCTTGTTTGAGAATAAGAAGGTCATCCCACACACTTTCCATCGCTCGTAGGTAACAAGTTCGTGATTGAACCATGTCACCATGGACTGTGATCACTCGTCCGCATGCTGGGAACTTAACCGCGATGCGATACGAAGAAACTATTGCTTTGTGTTTGTTAAGATGTGGTTTGCCAAAAATGATATTGTACGCTATTGGCGTTTCGACTATAATTGCCTTCTCCTCATATAACGGAGAGTGGAGTGAATATGCATGTCTCTTTCCTTTCCCCAAAGAAATTGTATAGGGGGACGAAGGTTAGATATAACCTATTTATCGCAAGCCCTATCCTGTCGCAGACAGTTCGAACTAGGTCGTTCACCGAACTTACACTATTGATTAGGATGCTGCTAATTTGGAAACCCTTTATGATAGCGGTGACCAGAATAGCTTCATTAAACGGATTGCCTTCAAGAGGCAGATCGACATCGTTGAAAATAATTGGAAGATGTGTTGATATGGTTCGTCGAGCTTGCTCTACAGAACAAACATGCTCGTGCCTGATCTTTTTCTGGTTTGATCTCCATGTGGCTTTGGGTTCGTCATCCTCGAAGATGGCGGGTACAAATCCTTAAATGTAGATGACTCTGGCGGGAGTCTGATCGCCGCCCCCATCGACATCGTCCGAATCCATGCCTCGAGAGCAACAAACTCTTTTAGTTTTCTAGCCCATATGAGTTCTTCAATGAGGCTGCGAAGATGGCGACATTCCTCGGTATCGTGCCCGTAATCTTGGTGGTATTTGCAATATCGATTGCGCGCATTGGTTTTCAGGGGAAAAGCTTCATGAAATATTCCTTTTCCTGTATAGCTTCCACGATTTCAATCATTTACATCTTTAGAGGCATGACTTCGGTTGGAGGTGGAGGGAGACAGAGCATTCCTTGCTTGACTTATGGTTTTTTGGCGATTAGCCTGGGTATTCTATTTCAGTGATCTAATCGCAAGTTTTCACGCCTATCTCTGGATCTTGCCTTACTAGAAGTTTTTGAACTTCTTCGATTGTGACGCTTCTGGATGTGGCGTTCCTCGTCAGAAGCTGGGGCCTGTGAAGAATCTTCATGTGACCGGGATTCTTCAGCGTGAACGTGCTTCTTCGCGAGTTCCAAGAGGTTCGCCAGTGTCCCTGGTTTTCTGAGGCCAAGATCATATTTGAATCGGCCTTCACGTAGACTTTCGATCAGTGCGACCTGTGCTACTGTGGGTTATAAGTCATGTATGTTTAGTATGTCTCACTGAAAGCGCATGATGAAACTTCTGAGGCTTTCTTTGGGCTTTTACATTTCCTCGGAAGAG